TCAAAAATTAAACTCCTTTCCTTCTCAAGAGATGATTATACAGAGAAAACACACCAAGCAGTTGAGATGGAGTTGCTTTAAGGGAATGCTTCGCAAGTACGTACAAGTAATAAAAATAAGCGCTCATTCCATGCTTGGAAAAAATGCACAGGAAGATTTCAGGCTGATGGAGACCAGTTTGACCTGCCAGCTGGTTAGTGGTGTAGGTGAGCACATCTTTCCCACGACTGGATTCAGCACTTTTTAAAGCCTTTTTTTTTTTTTTTTGTTTGGGTGATAGGGCTTTTGGACAAGGAATATGGTCCAGCGTGTTCTGAATGGCAGCTGCACCAGCATTATGTAAGACACTGTTGCTTATCAAGCTCTTCGAAGCCTATAGCGTGCTGAGAGAGGAAAAATATTGTGTGTTCCAAAGTTAATTGCAAATTCACATAACTCACAAATTCACACAATTAGTCCTTCACATCTATCTCCACACTGAAAGACCATCTATCCTTAAATAAAGGCACCTGAGAAAGGCCTCATTCAAGATGAGCCACACAAAGAATTTAAAGCGATAGCACTTGAAACAAACCTCTAGTCAGACAGGAGCACGACTGGTTTTCACAAGCGCAGCCCACATAAACATCCGTTGAGGATCACTCTTTAAAAACATCTCGGGAAAGGAGTCCCTCACTGCTTATTCCAATGCACAGCTCTGAACAGAGTAACTTGTAGTCTACAACCTTTTCATTTTGAAGTCTGTTTGCCTTGGATTTTGACTTCTAATTAATGTATCTACTGGAAGCCACAAACTGCTACCTCTCCTCCCGCAGGCCCCTTAACACTGACTTCCCACAGTATTTTTTAGCTTCAGCAGATTAGCAGAAATCACTGGAAAGGTGAAAACTGTGAAACTATTTTTCAGTAGTTTCATCTTTCTTTAGGGGGATTAAAGAAGCCTTATCGTTAGCAGCTTCAGAGTACTTATTTTTTCTGCTATATGAGGAAGAAAAAAATATTTTAAAGAGGAATTACTGTACCTGTACCAAACTGGTGTTACAAAAAACCAGTTAGGCTACCCCTGGTTAATAAACCCAATCCTCAGTGATGTTTCTTCACTTACAGGATACATTGATTCATGCTCTGTAACACGCATTGCTCTATGTACTTCACATGTACGTGCTGTATACAGAGGTACTGTGTACCACCAGAAGTCAATGAAGGCTGCTATGTGCTGGGGTGACCACAGACCAACACCCTGCCTTGCCCATATTCAAAACACACAGAAAAGCACCACAAATGTTTAGACCCTTTCAAATAAAAGGCAGAAAAAAATTCTTAGCCAAGTTCTCCTTTTAGATATCTACGAACATATCCCATCCGTTTTATGAATATAGCCACAGAGACCCATTACACAACATTCCTACACAACTCTGACTGCAACATTCCACTGTGGGATCCACCACCGACTCGTGTTATTATTACACTACCAAACAACAGTAATTTAGTAGCATCTTTTGGTATTTTCTGCCCTACTGCAGAATTTCATCTGCCTCCAGAGCTACAGCCACTGGCATTCCTACTTCCCTTCATTCCAACACACCATCTTAACATCCTCATGAAGTCCATTTTTTAAAAACCTGAAGCCAAGAGATGCTAACACATTTCATTGTCGCTCACACAACAGTGCACAGAGGGCTGCTTCATACAACACAGTAAAAAAAAAAAAAAAAAACCCAAAAACCAACTTTTAAGAAAACCAAACAGTCTTACTTGCAGGCTTTATGAATTTAAACCCTTTCTTTCTTCAGCCAGAAGTATCATGTTTTAGAACCACAGTTACTGCGTGAAATTTTTCTTAACATACAACCTACCCGACTTTAATGGCGTCAATGCTGTTCCTACAGACAGCTCAATATTGTTTCAGTCTTACGTCACTAATGTAATATCCCGTAAAGAAACAGAAACAACATTTTATTAGGTCTTAAAACCAAAAATCCTGGGGAAAAATTACTAATTTTTAATCTGAAAAAGAAATTAACAGATTGCTTTATTACACTTCCCTCAAAATTAAATCTCAGTATTTAAATATGTCAATCTAAATCTTGTAACTTCAACACAAATTTAACTGTCCATGCAATCTATTACATATCTGCCACATGTAATTAGCATTTCTGATTCTGACATAAACAACGTCATTATCTAAAACGTGTTATGTGGCAGAAACATTTCTAATAAAACCAAATAAAATCAATTCTGTTCCTAGTGTTTGATTAATTAAAAAGCAGCAACAAACCTCAAGCCCCCTACCCACTTTCTGGAAATGGCTTGTCAGCACAGCAGCCAGCACATGCATTACCATTCCGGGGCGCTAACGGAATAGCCCTGCGCAGCGGGAAATCCCGCGTTAGGAAAAAGGGAGGGAGCAACACTTTTCAATGCAGTTACTGAGTTGCTTCCAAACCACCAGAAGAATCTCCATAAAAATAACAGATGAAGCTCCTACGTGGATACGTGGATCTAACTTTGCGGTGGGCTCTCTTACACTCGTACAGATCTCATCCTGATCAAGCAAGACTCTTTGAATTTAACTACTGTCCAAGCCAGCCTTAGGTGCAGCTGTGTTCTCACTGCTGAGGGCTCCAGGCACTGCTATACAAATAAAGTAACAAAGGTTTCAGGATTCAGTTTGGGTGAATATTGTTATTGGTAATATATGTTCCTTTGTTTAAAAAAAAAAAAAAAAAATTAAGTTTCTGCCCTTTACCACTAGGAACTGGAAAAAGCCCCAACCCAACCACCTGTGGCAAGTCTGCCTGTGTTTTCAAACCACGTTTCAGTAAGATCCTTCTGTTCAAGTTTACCAGTTTCTGGCTAGCTCTTGTTGCCATTTTAAATAATCGATAGCTTATAATGCACATGAAAACTGAGTAGTTTTAAGCTGTTTGTTAGACTCTCAAACTGGATTTATTTGACAGGTGTTCGCAGCCTCAAATACCACTTTTGCAAATACGAGTCTGTCCCCCTCTGCCTTGTTAAAGCTTGTTCACTTATTACTCAAGATGCGTGCATCTCGTATCCAAATACCCTAAGAACCAACATTTCATACACAGAAACAGCTCAAATCTGATGCAGGATTTACAGAAACAACCCGAAGTTAATGCAAGATTTATACCAGAGATCTCTCCCAGTGAAAGTCAGGGAAGCAATGAGGAAAGAAATCCAATGCATGCTATGGGATGGAACACCTTCTCATAGCACATTATTTTAAACCAAGAACACAGCGACTGTCTATCTTCCTGAACTTCTCCCGGCTACGGAGACATGCAGCAGCAACTCCAGTCCAGAGCTGCCAGGTGGCTGGGGTACATGCTGACCCCCTCTGCACCTGGAGCTTAAGAAAAAAAAAAGCTGTATAGTTAGATTTTCTTTTAAGCACATAGGCTAGGTAAGTTTTCCTTTTCCCTTGACTCACAATTATATTGAGGGCAAAGCATAGAACAAATTTGTTTCTCATGGCTTACACATCCCAAAAGCTATCCTTCCTATTTATAATCCAAAACCCAAAAATCTCTGAAAAACTAAAGAGCAGAACCCCTCTCAACTGTGCCTGCACCAAACACCCCCGTCTAACATAACAAAAATAAAACACTTCGAAACACAGTAGGAAGGACTTAGAGTGTAGGTGCCACGCTTTTATTTTCCACAAAAGCAAACAGCGAGTGTTAACTCCTCCCTACCCAGTGAACCGACATTCAGACCCCCGTGAGACTGACCAGACAGCCCGGGAACCCCAGACGCAGTTTCTCTCAGGCTGTATGATGGTCATTTTCACAGATATGAGTAACAACTGTATTTCTCTCTCACCTCACACTTTTAGATCTCTCAGATCTTCTCTAGTAGGACTGACAGACTTGCACATGGAGATTAACCCATCTCCTGACAGCTGTAACCAGGGGTTCGCTTACAAGCCCACTTGACATACACAAGCAATGACCCTACCGATTTTTTCCCCTCCTGAACCACAAAATACCCAGACCCAGAGAAGTTCTAAGTCCCCACTCATGCGCTCTCTCCAGCTGTTCCAAACTCCTTTCAGGGACCTTCTATTTTATAATGTGTAATTACTCTTTGCATTTCAAAATCAAAACACTTGATCAGACTCTGATACAACTTGTAAAAAAATCGTAACAAGGTAACATAGTATTACAAATTTATTTAGCTTCTTCAAAGTAACGTTTCAGCATTGAAAAATTCACACATATAAAACAACCTCAACTTCTAGGCATTAAAACCAAAATATGGAATATTTTTTTTTTTAACTTTAAGAATGTACTGTGCTTCTTTATTTTTTAAACATCTCTCATGAACCAGATTCTTCAGTTACAAAGCTGATAAAAATAAGTGATGCATCACCACATTTTTTCTTAAATGTGAAATTCATCTCTTTGGGAAGCAAGAGGGTTTTTTTTTAAATATTGTATCATGGAAGATACAGGCCTGAAAAAGGATAAACAACCATACACAAGGCATAAACATTACATGGAGTAATTCAGACATTTTACAAAGAGGTCTGGAAAAGTACCTAAAATAGTGATATTTATTTAGTATAAAATTTCAGTAATAAAATATTGCTCATAATAAATAAGAAAACATGAGTTTCATTAATACTGTTCTCCCATTAAAGCTTTCTTGGATGTAACATGATCAGACCTGATCAAAACTCAAATTTTTATTTTTCCTCTGAATGGAGGAGGCAGTTACAGGCTTCAGGTCATTCTTTGTCAGAAACAATTTTGTTATCAACAAAACACAGAATTAATTTCAAGGCTCATGCGTAGTTGCGGGGAGGAAATCCCTAAGCCTGAATAAACCTTATTACAGTATATTTTAACACCTAAAATATTTGCCTTTTTTGTTAAAAACAAAGGGGAATAAGAATTCTCATGGATTATGAATGTAAAGAGAAAGCTGCCCGTTTCCTCAAAAGCTTCTAAACTTCCGTGCAGCTTACTTACTGGTTATCAAAGCTGTTAGGGAAAGTTAGCTGTATAGGGGGACAGAAGCTGTATTCCCTTTATATGGGGACATTTGACTTGGTCCCTGCCCGTCCCATCTGTAGACACGGCAGTTTGGAGTAGTTCTTCAGCAGCTGCTCAATAGCAATATGACGGACGTTGAGCTCTGAGGCCAAAGAGTCCTTTTCTTGGACCTGCCGCGTCAGCTCTTCAAAGACATCTGCAAGAACAGTACTAGGTTAATGCACTTGGTCCCTGGGCTTCCACAGAAGTGAGCAGCAGTGTCGAACATCACTATGATAGAGGCACCCGCGTTTCAGTGGCCTCACACACAAGAACACCACTTGTTCTGGTTCCAGGGCAGCTTGGTGTATGCACTGCAAGCCAAACAGGATCCCCAATTTATAGTTTTAGGACATGAGGTAAATTGGATCGGTTTGTAACTTGAAATGAAGTTGATTCTGACTGTATCAGGAACCGTGTGGCCAGCGGTAGGGCAGTGACTGTCCCCCTGTACTGGGCACTGGTGAGGCCACACCTCAAATCCTGTGTTCACTTTTAGGCCCCTCACTGCAAGAAAGACATTGAGGTGCTGGAGCATGTCCAGAGAAGGGCTACGGAGCTGGGGAAGGGTCTGGGGCACAAGTCCTGTGAGAAGCAGCTGAGGGAGCTGGGGGTGTTTAGCCTGGAGAAGAGGAGGCTCAGGGGAGACCTTATAGCTCTCCGCAACTACCTGAAGGAAGGGTGCAGAAAGGTGGGTGTTGGTTTCTGGTTTCTTCTCCTCAGTGACAAGCAATAGCACAAGAGGAAATGGCCTCAAGTTGCACCAAGGGACATTTAAATTGGATATTGGGAAAACTTTCTTCACCAAAAGGGTTGTCAGGCATTGTAACAGGCTGCCCAGTGAGGTGGTTGAGTCACCATCCCTGAACGTACTTAAAAGACATGCAGACGTGGTGCTTAGGGACACAGTTTAGTGGTGGACTTGGCAGCGTTGGGTTTACAGGTGGACTTGATGATCTTATGGGTCTTTTCTAACCTAAATGATTCTATGATTCCAGTCAAAACACTTCAAGAAAACAATGTATTGTTCAAGTGCCAGTTCGCAACACCCAAAGAGATGTTACATAACAAAAGCAACTAGAAGTTTATATATAATGTTTCCATGTAAAACAAGAAAGAGATTTTAGTTTAAAATTTCACTCATATTAAAAAAAAAATAGTGATGGCTTTTACAAGATTTTCTTTATTCCAAATCAACACAAGCCCAACACAAAGAATACTGAAAAACTCACCCTGGATTTGCTTGAGCAGTTTTTCATTAAGTTGCTTCAACTCTCCGGGAGTCATCATAGTCACTGTAACGATAAAATCTGTTACTACTGTTACCAAAGTCACATAAGCACACCTAAGCAGACTCCTGTTTTCTCAAGCTGTCATCATTTGCATCCTAATAATCAACAGATGGGTGGCAGAAAGTCAGAGACAACATTATTTATCAGTTATTTGTGGGAAGTTTGAAAATTCTCTCTTTTATGCTGACACAGACAAGGATTTACTCCATCGGAAAGCCCCTTCTTCAATGTAAAAAACCCTGGAAATTCAAGCTCTCAGAACAGTAGTATCCAGAATCAGAAATGCTTGTAAATCGCTCGACACCTTTAACTACTTTACCTTCCTCTGACTGCAAAACTTGGCTTCCACAGTGTAACCCCTGCAAGTACATCTGTTCAATTGTGGACAATTCCGAGGTAAATCCTGCTCCGTTTGCAAGCCCACAGGAAACAGATTCCCGACGCAACTGTCAGCAGACAGCTACCTGTTTTGGCTACCCAGTTTTGTGCTTTATGCATGTAAGAATAACATATACAGTTTCCACTAAATACCTCGGTGATAAACAATGAAGAATAAATGTTAGTCTCATACAAAACAAGCATATAAAAATAGGTTTACTTATTTCCTTGTCCTATGCTTCTAGTGACAACTAAAAGGTCTGCATGATTCATTCACAAGCCCTGCTGTATCTCAGGTTTTCTGTACACTGATCATCCTCACAGAAAATACATAAACCTCAGAAGAGGGAATTGTGAGAGTATTCCATGCTGCCCTTGATCAACAGCAGCACACAGGGAAGCACTACCTGCTTCCTAAAGACCCCTCAGCCCAGTGGAGGGCACAGGTTGGTGCCATGCTTGCTGCCAGACGCCCCTGGCAGCACGGTGAAAAGTGACAGTCCTGATCACCACAGGAGGATGCAGGGCACTTGAACAAGCTTCAAGACCTTTTCATTTTTAAATATTTTAAATAGCTTTTTTAAACAATGCGGCAGCTTAGCAAAGCTCTCACTGCATACTTGAGGAAAAACCCACGCTGCAATCATACAGCTCTTCAGAGACTTCCCAGTGCAAGAGGTTTCTGTACTGCAAATTTAAAACCTAGGTTCTGAAAAGGATGTTTTTTACCTACTCACAGAACTATTCAATTATCCTAAGCCTCCTCTTTCAACCTCTCTCACATCTTGCAGTTGTGGGATATTAACTTTCTACCAGTGCTGCCAAACCAAAGAAGCTGGCAATAGCTGAGATAGCCTGCCTGTTATGCAAGACCTAAGGGCCTTTCAGAGTTAAACGGATTCACCTTTCTCCTCCAACAGCCAGGTGCAGTGGAGCTCCTTTCTACCTTTGGCTAGCAATACAACTGGAGATTCCTTTCTCACATCTTACCACCTTTTGAACTCCATGCAAACACTGACTGGATTTAATCCAGTAACTGACAGCTTTACAAAAAAGTCAAGGGTTTGGGGTTTTCCCCCCCGCTTTTATACCTAGTGGTAGGATGTTACTTCCTATTTCTTCATTATTTTCATCAACTGTAGCAGATTGGCAGGTTCACACCTTCTGTGTGTGTATCAGGACAGGACTGTTTCATGTCACAGAACTGTCATACAGAAGGGGAAGGGAGAAGGCACAGGACACCACATTTAAGAGATACAACATTCTATCCATAGCGGAAGTAAAATATAAAGAAATACTGACCAAACTATTTGCAGTTACATTCACACTAGATTTTCATAGTAGACTGCTGTGTCTTCACAGTGGTGGCACTGCAATAAGAAGGTACCCGATTCTGGCAGAGAAACTCTGACAGTTTTTCTTTAAAATACAGATTTTATATAATCAGAGTCTTCAAATGAATGTCTTTTAAAGCTAAATACTGCAAAAAGGATTAAACAAATACCTACAACACAAAGCAAAAAATGCTCCAAAAGTGCATTAAGCAGTCAGAAGAAAAAAAAAAAATCTGTTATCATGCTCAAAACAGATTTCTGTTCCCATCCCAAAATCAGAGATCAGAGAGAGAAATTCCAAGTCACTAACTTCAGTTAGATAACCCCATAAGCCAGGTCAAGCTTTCATAATTCCTCTGTTAACTACTGTTCTGATTTATGTAATCCCAATTTATGACTCCTGAGGACAGGTGGTCAAACAGCACAGCATATCTGTTTTGATTTATGGCTTTGAGACTACTAATTCACTACAAATGCCAATGTGAAGCATCATACAGCAGTTAACTACAATCCTTTCATAAAGAATGAGAAATGACTGAACTTTGCAAGGACAGGTTTGTTAAAACAATGAAAGCCTAAAGAAACTGATTCCAACTTTTTACAGTACCTTCCTCACCGTGTCTTATGACATTCTGAATTCCATTATTATCTTATTTTTCATCATCTAATTTTTGCACTGATTTTTTTACCAGAACTTTTGTCTTTTCTCAGGTCTTTCGAAATTCAGAAAACCCTTTCCAATTACTTTCCTCATCTACAAAAGGAAGAGTGGATGTATTCCAGTTTAGGACCAGGCAGTGTTCTAGAAGTAGGATGGTAACATCAGAGATCTCCAAGAACTTAGTTCTAACACATTTCATGTGCTGAGACACTACAGCATTCTAGATTTTTCTAAAGATTTTTTCTAGCGGCCTTAAATAACGGAAAAAATTATTTCCTACTGCTTTCACTATCACAATCATCAAAAGACTGGCTCAGGTCTACTGCAACAACCTTTAAGGGGACATGGTGGCATAAGGAAGGCCCTTCCCATTTTCTTATGCTCAATAAACAGAAGAAATAATCTAGTAAAACGCACAAGGAAAGTCTGCTACTATTAACAATGTGGGCAGAGAGGGCAGCCCTCTAAAACGCAACTCAAGGCATTGCCTAAGTTGGATATAACACTTATTTTTAGGAGCTTAGTAATCTTCACCGGCAGGGCTGTGCAACTGCCAGGAAGTTGCTGAAGTGACTGCAGTCAAGCATAACCAGCTTTTTTGTTTAAATTAGACATGTCCTGTATCACAATGGGGTATAACTGACAGGAAAATTTAAGAAACCAACAACCACCAAAACCCCACACCAACTAAACCCTATTTGCTCAGCCACGTAGTGTTCTTCACAGATTTTACAGTAACTCCAAACTGTTAAAAGCTAGATTTCGGGAACTGAGATGCTGCCCTGTGGGGACAGCATGTGGTCAAGAGAAACTTCAGAGAACGCCCTTATTTGCTAGGCTGTGCGTAAATAGACATATACTTACATTCTTCCCTGCTGTATTGAGGATGTCTTCTGCAAACACTGGTAAGCGAATCACATTTGGCTTTTTCAGCCTTCTGGGCCTGGTTGTGATTAGACCACAGAACACTGCTGCAACAGAAGGTAGCACCTGCTTCTTGTAACACACCGAGTCTGAAATCAGTGGATTCTCTTTGTTCCAAAAGAGTCTGCGAGCAGCTCGAGATGCCCCCAGGATTCCCATCTATCCATTTTGCAGAGTATCTAGGTACCGGGGAGTCAAATTGTGGGAGTAATTTTCTATCAGTCTGATGTCTGAAGTTAAAAAGCTGATGCTGGGATGGTTTTGAGCTTTCAGGATCAGAGTCTAAATCCTTGTTTTGTGCGTACTGTATGATCCAGTTAATTTTTTTGCTCAAGATATTTTTCACTTCTGCATACGGACTTTTAGAGAGCTTTGATCGCGGACAGTCCTGATTTGCTATTAAGTGGAATTTTTCAAAGCAGTCTTTGTGTCCCCTTAAAGACCTTGTATGTAGAAGATCCGACTTTGGTACTCCTGTAAAGACACAAGAGGAAAAAAGTTCACTTATTGTTTTCTCAACTCATTTTTCAAAATCTTTACTCACAAGCAACCAAGGAAACAGTCTTAACTGATGCTTTCCTATTAACAGTCTAATCACTGAAGTAAACAGGATACATGATACTCTAACATTTTTGAAATTCTGCTGTCGTGAGCCTTAGCATACAAAGTGGTTTGCACACAGTGCAGGACACACAGATTACCTGCACCTATCTCTTCCATGATAATGCAGATGAAGCAAACTGCTAACTCTGCACATCCTGCACCACACATGCACGCAAGCGTATGAGCTGTAGAAGTAAAATAACCCCAACTATCTATAAGAAGGTTCTACAGAACAATAATGAAGAGCATTCTGGAAGTAGTCATTCATGCTCCTATCTTCTACGGATAACGTTACGAGCCATCCGCTCAACAAATACCGCGGTGTGCGGGTCGTGTTATCCAAGCGGTCAAACATAATTCAGACTTCAGTCTTACTTTATTATTTTGCATTGGTACAAGCCTGCAGCCCATCTAGAGAAGCAAGTTCTAACACTGCCAATAGTTGACAACATTAAACTGTCCTGAAATTAACTTCACTTAAGAGGGATGCTTACTCTCCTCTTCACTTGTCCTCCTTCAAAGGCTATTCAAAAAGCTACAGCAGGTAACTTACTCAAACCTCGAAGTAATTGATAGTGATTGACATGCTGAAAAGGAACACAATCTGTGAAGATCTACAGTTGGTGAGCAAACACAGATGGTGTGAGAAATGATTATTTCAGAAAGTTAATAGTACTCCAGTACAAAATTACTTTCTGCAACTTGAGTGGATATTTATTTTTCCTTCAGATTCACCTACGCAGTAGAGTCAGCATCCAAGTTCAGAATATTGAACAGTTCAACATTTATCTCAACACCCAGCATACTACTTGGGAGGTTCCCAATATAATGAAAACCAATTCTTTCAAACAAGTTCTTCGTTACAAATAACATACCCAAAAAACACTGGTTGAAAGTGCTCCATGCTTACTAAAGCCAGAATATTTAATTCTACATATGATAATGTAATTTGATCTTTAAAACTAGGTTATATGACCCAAGCTGCAGCCATGTTACCTGCTAGCGCTGAAAGAAGCACATAAAAGTGCTTAAATTGAAAGAAAAAACATGAAATTCAAAAGGTAACATATTTGGTAATAGGGACCTGAACAAGCAATCAGCAGAAAGCTACATGTTACAACAGTTATGAGACTTACTCTTGTAGTAAACTTTAAGTCCCCTACCTCAAATGATTAACAAGTGATAAGCTGGGGTTTTTTTTAAGCAATTAAGTTCTGCAATACCCCAAACTACTCTCAAAGTTAAGCTGCAAAAGTAAAATCCTTAACATGAAACTAATGAAAAAAATCCAAGCACTTCATCTTGATTACCTCACTCGTTGGTAACTAGTATTTTGAGCTGGGGAGTTTAAACATTGAGAGCAGCCATTATAAATCTTTGATTTTCCACACTCTGGGCAGCGTTGAAACTCAAAAGCATTACAGTTCTGGTTGGGTTTGTAAGAGGCTACACAAAATTTATGGGGCAAAATGACAAAAAGAGTATAACTAAAAGAGGACAGCAGTGGAATTTGTTTTGTTCTTAGCAGCAGAGAAGAAAGGTAAGGTCATAAAAAGACACTCCTCCTGCCAAGAACTAAGTATTGGAACAAAAAAAAACCATCCTAACTAGAGGCACCTTTTAAGAAGTAAGTTCCCGAGCAAGGTAAAAGGACAGATGTCTTCATGGGTACTGAGTCAAGCGCCTTCATGTGTAGAGTTAAGATCCTCACTCTACACCTCAAAATATCTTTCAACCTCTTTCAGCAAATGGACATTCCCTAACTTTTCTTAAGTTCTACCTGATCTACTGCCTACTTGCAAGGCTATTTCCCCTCTCCACCTCTACAGAGACTTTAAAAATAAACACCTCTAGTGAAAACAAGGGAAGACAAGTCATTTGCATGACGTATCAGTACAATTTAAATGCAGCAAATCTGCTTAACTCAAGTAACTGCATGATGGAAAACCTTAAATCTTCAGGCCATCAAGAGCAAACACTGTCAACTGAAGTCATAAAATACACATTCACAACACTGCAAACCCTGCAAAACCAGACTGATACGCTGTATCCAAGTGATTCTTCCACACACTACACTGTTGATGCTTATAGCACTTTCTTTTACTTACAGAAAACATTATTTCAGCCACTCTTATGACAAGTTTTACACAATTTTCTATACAATAATGCTCAGGAGCCAACCCACCTAACAATCTGACCATAAGAGGAATGAATGAAGCCGGTGTCGTCTTGATACAGGACAGAGTAATCCTGCCTAAAGCAAATACTTGCAGACTTGGTGGAGAAGAGGGAAGTGAACTGCTGAAAGCACAGAGCGCAAATCTAGGACAAATGCAGTTTTGCACAGACTGTTGCTAGTTCACAGCTGGCAGCGGGTACTACTAACATCTGTTTTGCTCTCAGGATACCACCCTTCTCCCAACCCAGAAGTCAAACATACCTACCAAGTTTTTACTTCTGTTTATTCTCCCCTGCAT